AAACACGGCAAAGAATATTGAAATATTAGAAATTTAGTTTAAATATACGGACAACAGTTTTGGTTTTAATAATAATAATAATAATAATAATAATAATAATAATAATGGAATATTGGATATGCTTGCAGGGTACCATCTAAGGAAAGAAAAAAGAAGTTGGCGTCGGAAAAATGGGCTGACAACATGACTAAATGGATAAGAAGATCATCCACAGAGACTTAGTCATTGACATGCAACCAAGCTATATGGATGGAGCTGGTCATTTGCTCACTCGTGTAGCGATCCTACGACCACACTTAGGTATAGGATGGATGATGATGATGATGATGATGATATGTTAATGATACATACTCCCCAACTAAAAAAAGAAATACACCGCGCTCTGAAATGAAACTGCCAGTATGTAGGATGTTCAGGCCAATATTGTCTCAGTTATCATTGGGACAGTGGGGTCTATACCACCGAACATTGGAGCATTGGGGTCTATACCACCGAAGTCCTATATCGATAAAGTCGAAATAAAACCTAGTAACCCATAGCGTCAGAAGTCAGCCTTGATGGCACTGCAAAAATTCTGCAAAAGGTGCTCTTTGAAGTCGTACGAATTGAGGGAGATCACCTTTAATGTAAGATCTCCGGTTGAAAACGAAAACCGTGCAGAAAAAAAAAAAAAAAAAAAGAGAGATAATGAAAAATGCCCCGATGCTACACCAGGTAAAGTTCACTTAGCTTCTGATCTTAATTGTTTGGGGGTGATAACATGTGAGTGTTTGGTCTTGGTGAATTAAGATGGATTATAGTAAATATATCGTTCGGTACCACGGATTTGATTGTTACTTGAATGATCTTAATCTGTTGGTCATATCATTAGAGGCTGATACACTGTACGCCTCTGCTCATGAGCGGGAATATTGATGGAGAGCATCATAGGTATGAAGAAAGGCTGTTTTTTGTTTTGGTTCGAAGACGTCTTGGTAGTTACAATTAGATATTTGAGAACACCCTAAAATCAGAGACTATCTGAGCGGACTGGGTTATCCGACCTGAAGATATTCCTAACTGAATTCTAACTGAAAATATTTGCGTTGCTTTTAGCAAAGCCATTACGTGGCATTTGGTTGTGATGCATGTACCTGCCTATATACACTTATCAAACTGATTATCATGATGGGTGTATTGGGCTTCGTATATTTGTCCCCGAGCGTATTGGCCTGCTAATCTTTCACTCAGTAATAACAATAATAATAATGCTTTATTTGGCCCTTCGCTAATACCTAAATGATATCGTATATAAAACTACGTGATCCACAATAACAATCATATCAAGTGATTTCAGTGAGAAATGTAAAAAATTGCTTTTGAAAAAACTGGTCAATTGTTTTTAATGAAAACCGGAAGTTATATTTTTTATGTCTGAACTTTTTTTTTTTATTCTCTTTTATCGATCAAATTAATAAAGGACATTAAAAAACATATCTTCTTTTCTGTGCCGTGTCCCTTCAGGACGTAGTCGATCATGGAACTCCATTTCTTCCTGTCCCTTGTAGTAATAAGTTTTGTATTTTTGTTATTTCTCTCAGACCATGTTCCGTAATTCCCCTTTCTTGAGTGCATTAAGGATGTCACGCATTGTTTTCCTTCTTTCCCTCTGTCCACCATGTGAGTATCAGATTTTCCAAGCCCTTCTTTGTCATTAAGTGTCCTAGAAATTTCAGCTGCCTCTTTCTGATGTTAAGTATAAGTTTCCTCTTTGTTTGCATCCTCTCCAAAACCTCATCGTTGCTCACATGTTCGGTCCATGGTATCCTTAGCATCCTTCTGTAGAACCATACCTCTATACAAAACTATACAAATAAATTAATATAGCTGTAACATCTTTCTCTTTTTTAACTAAAAAAGACAAAGTAACCTTCTTTTAATACCTGCTTGGTTTACAATATTGGGCTTGCTAATCCAACAAGCTGAGTTTTATTCGGTAAAAATATATTAAAATTATGATCAATGCTATAAAAATAGACATATTAAAAAGGGACAAGACAGAACAGGAAAAGAAACAAATCTATAGCCATAGTAAATATCTAGAGCTCCTTTATAAAATTCAAAGAAGAATAAGCAATATTATTGACACTGTTCTGGCATTTCGTCTTTTCCCCACTGCTGTAAGGTTGCCTCCCTGTGCTTTTTCTATAAACATTTTAATGCTAATTGTTCGGATGAGCTCTTCGCTATGCTGCCTAGACTCTTTGAATTTAAGCGCAGTACTAGACAGGTGACAAGATCTCTTCAATTTACAGTTGAGTTGATTAAATGTAACCGTAAGTTCTATGCTAACAGTTTCTTTTCTCGCATTTTTCACTTGTAGAACTTACTTCCGGTTCCATGCTTTCCAGCCATCTTTAATCTCCAAAAATTTAAATGTAATGTTAATCGCTATCTATTGTCCTCATGATTAATTTTCTTTTGTTCCCGCTCATTACCAATGTTTCTGTTTCTAATTCTTCCACACCCAACAACCCTTTGTGTCTCAGTGGCTTTACTCCCTTGCCTGGGGCGAATTCAGTTAAAAAAAAATATAGCAACGAGAAAAAAAAAATAGAAAAAGAAAAGAAAATTGTAGAATCAGCTGACCGGTTTTATCAGAAATAAAATAATGTGCATATAGCGTAAGAACGAAGTAAGAAATATGAGGATAACTACACAAATATCCACAGTATATTGACACAGGTATAGTTATAAACAGATTAAACTGGGGCCTAACAACCATTTTTTTCGTATACGCGAAGATGGCTATCTCTACTCAATACTAACAACTTTAATGTTGAGTAGATCACATACCTTCTTATTGTAGCATACCTATGGACGATATGGGTATGTCACCATTCACATAAGTACAGTAGTAAATATTGTATGTTGGTCTGCAGTCGGAGATTCGTTTCCAGCTATGCTGGTCAAACTCTCTGCCTCCGGGCAGAAAGGATCTCCAGGCGGGGCTATGTCGAAGGGCAGAGTCTCGTCTCGGGAAACAGCTACTCGATCCCGTTTTATACGGGGTCTACGGGGAAATTTTGGCTAATCCTACGGGTTCGGCTACCCCGCGTTAAAATCGGCCTTGTGCCATATCTGACCCCGTGGGGCGGTTGATAGATAAACTGCAGTTGGAAATTCGTCTCTAGCTGTGCTGGTCAAACTCTCTGCCTCCGGGTAGAGAGGATCCTTAGATGAGGCTATGTCGAAGGGTAGATTCTCGTCTCGGGAAACAGCTACCGGGCCCCGTTTTATACGGTGTATATAGTGGATTTTTGGCCGAGTTTGGATACCCCACATTAAAATCGGCCTTGTGTCACATCTGACTGCGTCGGGTGGTTGGTAGATATCCTGCAGCTGGAGATTCATTGTGGAATTCACTTGTCTCACTTCTAGCAGTTGAATTATTCTTCCTCCTCGCGCCGCTGGTGAATCATATACGTGTTGTTCGTGTCCTAACTATTATCGTTCGTTACCAACCTTCGCCAGCAACCTTCACTAGGTTACAACACTATCATTTGAAAGTTCTTGCGGCAATTTATATCAAATCGAGACTTTTTTCGTTCTTTCTTTTTCTCACTAAATCAAACATCGCTCTGGTATATCTTTGTCTACCGTTTTTTTCGCAACTGTAACTGCATAGTCCATTATTTGTCTGAAGCAACGGCAGGGTAACTAAGAAACAAACAGAATTAGAACATGATAACTGTATGTCAGCCACGTGGCAGGCATAAAACCTCGTTATTAGAATAAATGAATCCGTTCAGATATGTAATCTGTAAAGAAAAGTAAAGTATCATTTAAAATTAGTCTACCTAGAACAATGGCGTCTTAGTCCATTTTCGAAGTACTTCTGTTGGAACCTTACATACACATCACATCATCTCCTTTTTTTCCCTAAACAGTCTGTAAAATCCTATTTCGGGATTTCCATCAGCTGTCTCGTTACGTTCAACTTAATCTGATCCGCAATATTTTAGTGGCAATTTTTAACTTTGGGAAAAGCCAGATGTCGCACGGAGCTAAATTTAATCTAGGTAATGCGTTGTTTCGCATAAAATCATTGCACGTTAAGGTTTCATGTTACATCACGTCTATGCAACCGGTTCTTAAGAGAGTCGAAATAGTTGAATAATTTCCGGACAAGCCACATCAATAAATAAATGATTGTCTTTTGCAATCGACGTAGTATCATTTCTATCACGTCTACAGTCAATGATAACAGATCTGTACGGTGACTTTTTCTGCTGCAGTCATTATTTCAAATGTCCAGTTATTAGATAACTTCAAAGTGTTTTTCATTAAAAAAAAAAAAACAACCCATTGCACAGACGTGTGAACATATCATTTGTCTGGCTTGAAATAAAGTCTAAATAAATTAGCTACACATCTGATGTGAACACATGATTGAAGCCAAAGTACTGAAAGCTCGGATTATTTGTTCGATCATCGTACGAACATTGGATGTTATTTAGTATTTTTCAAATGTCTAAACTATTTTAAATTGGATGAAGCTTTGATAAAAACATACTTGGTTTGTGAGGATGTATGGCATTTCTTAATGAGCATAGTGACGTCAGAATATATACTACCGTAAAAAAGTAGTTTTCTTTGTACGTATATGCATATACATGTGTATGTAGACCTTATATTCAGCGGGTAAACGTGTTTGAGAATTGACGCCCACTGACATAGGCAATCGAAAATCTTAAATTGATTTGTTTTTTACCGGTTATCAACCTTTTACAGGTTATTTAAAGCCAGAAAATATTTTTAAATTGTAAGAAATTTTGGAGTTAATTTACTGATACAAGTCTTACTAATTAACCCACATCTGGAGGGAGAAGATGTGGATTCACACCTTTCCCAAGAGTATTTGCACGTAAATGAATACAACGAATCAGAATAGAATTGGAACACGGCTCTCCGATTTCCAATTCCGAGTCGCTATCTATTAAACCACCCCCACAACCAAGCTGACAGCACCTGGTATTTCCAGGCGGTCACCCATCCAGTTACTGACCATGCCCAACGTTGCTTAATTTCGGTGATACTACGGGAACCGGTGTTTCAAGGTGATATGGCCGTAAACACGGAAATCTTTAAAAAATATGCCTTTTTAAAATTAATTTTTACTAATGTTCCCCAATATAAAGTTCAAGAGATACTCAAGGTAGAGGCATAATATGTGTTGCTGTATTAGCATAAGTAAGGGAAAGAAGTCAAGTTCTTGGGGCTAGGCAGAGAAGAGAACGGTTAATTCTAGATTTGAAGAGGTCGAGATTTAATTAGAGTATAACATTTCAGAGTTCAGTCGGAGGCGTTAAAAATATAGTAGGGAAGTAGACTTTAGAAGGAACCCGAAACGCAATCCTAAACAGGAAACAAGGGATAAACCTCAAAACCTGTTCAAACGACCGGGGAGGAGTGAGAACTCAACGATAGGCTAACCTATCTACTCCTTTTGGGAGAGTAAAAAAAAAAAAAAATAGTGAATAAAATTTCAGAGTTCAGGCGAAGATGTCAGATATAGAGAATTGAAGTAGACCTTAGAATAACCTTCAATTCAAAAGATCGTGGAAGTGTGTGAACCAACCGAGAGAAGAACTTTGAGTCAGGGATAGTAGTAGTAATAAATTATCTAAGTATTTATCGTAATAAGAAATGCTGCATTATGAAAAAAAAAATTCCATTAATTCCTTAGCTATTACTTTGGTTGGGTTTCGAGTATTAAAAACAAAAAAAAAAAAAGTCAGCAAATTTGATAATGATAATATTCGGCATTCATTGATCGAACTGCCATTTCGTTTGAAATTTATAAAATATTTTTTTTAATATAAACAATTTCTCAGAAAAATATATTTTAAGTCCACGAGCTTTTATCGCACTTTCCAGTACTAATATCGGGATCATTCCTAAGATTTTCTTTGAAATGGTATGGAACATCAACAACTAGATTACGTCATTATTTTTCTTTTCGCATTAAATGTGCTGTCCGTTTATGTGTTACTGCTTTTGAAATCCTTAAGTGATGTTTTTTCTTTGTTCTTTGTGATTCTGTAGCGCCAATCCATGAGATTCGAAGAAGATAGACCTCGCTAAGACCTACTGGGTCCATTCTTTGAAATCCATCGAATGATTCGAGTTTTTTTGTTTAATGTTTTGGTTTTGTAGCTATTATTGATGTCGGACGAAACTACCCATAACGCAGCCTATTTTATGTTTAATTTCCTTATCTTCTGTACTAAATTTGTTATAACTGATCTATACACTGAGGTATTTGAAGTGTTTAGTATTTAATAAGTCTACATCCTGAATTGTATGATGATTCAGGGTAGGTGCCATCACTGCTTTCATTCCAATTCAACATTATAGCTTTTGTTTAAACACTTTTCCTCTTTGCTATTTATTGGAACCCTTAAGAACAGACAATCACGAGTCTGCAAAACGTATAAAATTGGAGGATGAATATCTAATCCTGGATTATCCTGGAGGATGGAAAATTAACTTCTTTGAGTTTGGTGGCCAAATTAAACTACTTAATTTAAATCTTTAATTCAAACAACCTATGAATATTGATTATAGGAGTAATAACATTTTTGAGAGAGTTGTTACGAATGCAGCTACGGGTGGAGTTAGGGGCGGGTGGTTGTTTTTTTTGTTTGTTTTGTTTTTGTTTTATCTCGTTCTTTATGAGAGAGAACTGGAAATCAAACAAAATATAAAATGTAGGGAACTGGTGCCTGGAATTTGAACTCGCTTCACCGATTCTGTTTTCATTTTAATAAACGTTACGCCAACCCGCAACATCACATCACTGGCACTTGTAAAAACACCACATCCGATATGTATAAACACACATATGTATTCAAGTGAATTAAAGTGTAGGTGTGATGAAATATTTTCATCTTGCATTAACGGTGAATGTTTATGGAAAGACAGTGACAAATAAATATATATATATATATATATATATATATATATATATATATATATATATATATATATATATATATATATTATATAT